CCTAACTTCGACAACACACTCTACGGAACATTACAGCAACTGCAGCAAACCTGCACTTATCACTACATGGCATTGGACAAAAGGGCGAGAACCCAGATGTTGCTGAATCGATAACAACAACAACAAAAACAACTTCTAAGGGCTCTGGGTGGATGATATAATTCCAGGAATTCTTTTAGATAAATAGGTGCTGTATCGTTTATACATTTAAAATAGAAAACGGCAGTTTTGTATTTGAACCTTTCTTTTACTGGCAGCCAGTGTAGTTCTTTCAGAAATCGTGGTACATGCGTCGATTTCATTTTGTTTCATTATCAATTTTGGTGCTTGATTTTGGAGTACTTGTAACTTTGATGGTTTTTAGGTCGTCAAACCGGACACAGTAGCAGTAGAGTTATCTAATTTCGATAAAAATCAGTGTCTTGACTGCTGTTTTAGTTAAATAATTTCGTACACTGCCGATTTTCTTTAGTTGAAAAAAGATACATTTGCTTAGCTGACCAATTGGGAGGACGTAGACATATCATAATCCAACTGAACCCCTAGATTTTTAAGAATTCTTTTTGAACGAATGGTGTGATTATTGATGTCAATTTGTCGTTCTGGGAGATTTCTGAAGGCTTTTGCATTCCCACTCAACATTATTTCCGTCTTGTCATCATTCAATTTGAATTTATTACTGGTCATCCATATTCTTAATTCCCGAATACACTGCTCAGGAAAGTTAACCAAAAGTGATATTTGATCGAGATCAATCGGCTTATATGTATAAAAATGATAATAATAATAATAATAATAATAATAATAATAATAATAATAATAATAATAATGATAAATTACACTTTTATTTGTTCCAGAAGGGCACTTTGGTTTACAATGGCAAACATACATACATATATAAATTCACAATAAGAAATACGTACATACATAAATACACGCATAAATTCATACATAAATACACAATATTACACAAATACAAAACAGTTTACAACAACACCACTGATGGTTGCCACTGTGCTGCGCTCTGCATTTTGCGCTAAGCTTGTTGTGTCTTGCTCAAGGACACATTCCAGTGACCATCCATCTGGTCTCCGTGTCATCGACACTTGCTTGACATTACTTGAGTCTAAACTCACTACTTACTTAGCCACTGGAGCCCCCATGCTAAGTGTCATTAGCATAAAGATGGTAATTTATGCCATATTGTCTTAAAATATCTGCAATAGGTTGTGTATACATTGTAAACAAGACAAGTCCAAGAACAGACCCCGGGGAACACCAGATCTGAGTAAAACATTATCTGAAAACGTGCTTCCAACCACAACTGCTAGTGTTCGATCTTTAAGATATTATGACTCAGAACATCGCATGACAGTACCCATTACGTCAAAAGTAGTATTTGGTCTCTCGAGTAAAATGTCATCATCAATGGTATCGAATGCAGCCGAAAGGTCACAAAAAGGAAAAAGACACACATTTCTTTCATTAATTCTTTTTAAAATATCAGTACAGACCTTATGTAACGCTCTCTCAGTACTATGGTGTGCCTTGTATGCTGACTGATAAACTTCGCTAAGGTTATTTTTTCCTTGATATGCTGTAAAACTCAATTAGGCACAACATTTTCCAGAATTTTGGAAAAAAAAGGAAAGATTTGAAACTGGTCTAAAAAAATTTAAGTCCTTTTCATCAGGTCCAGCTTTTTTCAAAAGACGTCTAATATGTTGAGTCTTAAAACAATTTGGTACTGTGCCCGTGAGGAGAGAATATGGGGGCTCACGTGGACTGGAGATAAAGGTGTTCGCCTCTCATTCAAAAGTCTCACATTCGATTCCCGGTAGCGACGGAGACGGAAACATTTTCTTCTCTAAAATTGTCTCCTTTCACCTTCTTTCCCTCTCCCTTGAACTATTCTGTCGTCTGCTTTTGTCTCCACTTTCTTCCCCCACCCCCTCACCTCCTTTGCCCCCTCCACTGGGCTCTCGACTCTTTCTGCAGCCTTTCTACTGCTACTCCTTGGCTCCTTCTTACGGCTGTCTTTCAGTCAGCCACACCCCTGATCTTCTGGTAAGAAAGATCTACACCTAGCCTTCTCGGACATGGGCGAAAAATATCGGACGTCCAGAGTGCAAGTTGCGCACGTTAAAGATCCCTTGATGGTTCAAAATCGATAAGATTTTCCCACCCGTGCAAAATTAAAAATTTCCTACCAATTGAAAATGTTCTGTGTGTCCCGTTCGATCATATGCAGTTGCGAAGCCCCGTAAAACATTTACCAAAAAAATAAAGGAGAGATTCATTTACAAGTGACCATTTTTCGTTTTGAACAGACTATGACCAGAAGTGCAAGCCCAAATTTAGAACAAAGAAAGCTCTAATCGTGAACCATGCAAGGGGGTGCATAATTGGAACGCACCACCTTCCTTCGCTTTTTGTTTGCTTTTTGACTCTGTATATTACACTTTTTCCCACCGAGTATTGCATAAAAACTGTGATATACTTTGCCTTCAAATTTTCAGTACACACATAAAGGTTTAAAAAAAGTTTTAGTAGAGGTTTTACGGCGCTCACAACTGCATAAGGTCATATGAGCACCAGAAGATTAGAGGTGTTAAGAGAGAGTAACCAACATATTAACAAAGAAGAAGGGGAGATAAGGACGATAGATGTACGAGAGAGAGAGAGAGAGAGAGAGAGAGAGAGAGAGAGAGAGAGAGAGAGAGGGGGGAGGAGAGCGAGAGAGAGTTGAGAGTGGGAGGGGAGCGGAAAGTGTTTAGGGATAAGCAGCTGCCGGTCGACCAGCATTATGTCATGTCGAAACTCGAAGTTTTGTCGAGTCATCTCCGGTTTTGTCTAGTTTTGTTTTGCTGTTGTTTTTTAATTACAAAAGATTAGCTTTTTCCCAACGCTTAAATAGAGAGGAAGCTTAGTGATAAGCTAATTATCCGCCCTGAAGTGATTTGTTGGATGGTCAAGTGACACAAACGTTTCCGAGATGATCAGTGGAAGTGTCCTCCCGTCATTTGGGGCCGCCGTATTCCTCGGCTGTTTACTTGTGACTGTATCGGGTATGATGCTTGTGTTTGTATTAACTTCGTTCAGTACATAAAGTTTGAACAGCGTGCGAATTATTGATGTTGTCTAAACTTGTGGGATCCAAGGTTGCACCTATAGCATGAGAACACAGTGAACAAAGGGCTGACATGATGAGACCTCGAAGAGGTGAGGGGGGGGGGGAGGTCACGTGGAAGATCAGTGGGGGCGTTTTCTCTTGTACCGTCTGTGTCCCTTTATGTCATTGAAACTAAGTGCATTCTAGCTGCATGATTGTACGTGTAATTCGTATGATAAAAGCGATTTCATTTTTATTTTTGTTAACCCCCTTTTAAAGCCGCCTACTTCTACCATATCTGCAAGAGACAACATGATCTGGAGGGATGCAGTATTCTGTTGGGAAGACGGAGATATTAAAATCCGGTGAAACATACTGCCCTAATTTGGGATTGAAACGTTGTTCTTTTTCGTACAACAATGAAGAACATGAATTGTAAACCTTAGACACCGAGAAAATGCTTCAGGTAAGTTAAATACTTTGGTAGGAGAAGTACATAATAGAAATGGGTCAACATAGGTTCGACAAATATATATATATACAAGCTGGGCCAACTTTCGATGAAAGGGATGATCGGTGCTTTAATATCAACTAAAAGTCATTGGCCTACTATATTTACACTCTACTGGAATGGGGGAATAAATCTTGAGAGATGCAAAAAATTAGAAGGTCTAGATCTATACTCTCAAAACAAAATGCGCCTCGCTAAATATCACTTCCGGGTTTTCTAAAATTACAGAGACAGAGGCGTCGGCCTACCAAAGCGATCGGCGAAATAAAGAAATTTAGCTTTTTGCAGCAAAACTGTCCCAAAACTGAAAAAACCAAGGGCGCCATGATCTGGAGAATATTTTAAAGACATTTTTGGCGAAAACCGCATGTCGATCGATGCAGCCATTAAAAAGCCTTTTGAATAGCAAAATTCTGCCACCACAAATAGATAATAGATATATGTGAGGCAGCGTGGTGGAATCAGGCTCTTGTCAATTTTTTGGCATATTGGGTTACTGGTATCGTTTTAACGCTTGTTCATTTGTCTTGCTTTCAATGAAAAAATTACCCACCCATCTTCAATAGAAGTGGAGATATTTTGGATTGAAGGAGGTAAAATTTGCGAGAAAATGGCCGCCAAAACTCGGTAAATTCCAAAGCTGGAGAGTCTATGGAAACTGTAAATTTATATTTTTGTGCCTTTAATCAACGTTTTCGGTGAAATCCTTAAAGGAATGTGTTTGTAAATGGACATAAAAGGTGTTGAGCCAAAAACCAAAAATTTGATAAAAATTGCTAAGCAGGGAGAAAACTGCTGTTTTCTTCGATTTCATTATTTTGACGAGAGCCTCATTCCACCACGCTGCCTCACACACACACACACACACACACACACACACACACACACACACACACACACACACACACACATATATATATATATATATATATATATATATATATATATATATATATATATATATATATTACATATATATATATATATAACCATTATTTCTTTTAGCCGTGATGAGCGAAAAAAAGCAACGTTTTAAGTAGAGTCGAACTAACATGCCCCAATTTCGTTCCCCAAGTCAACAGTATCACGTTATTTTGAAATTTCTTTGGGTGACTTTAAGCAACTTCCACCTGCCTCCTCTTATATCATCTGATTTACTCACTTTCTTGTTTAGCTGATTTTGAATTTTTACTGTAATTGTTTTGTTCTTTTGACCATGTTTTGCTTCTGGTCGTGAATCTATCCACACAATGGCCGCCTTGACGACTCAAACATGACATTCCCACGCTTTTTGTCAAATGACAATCTAGTTATGGCATTTCTCATGACAGATTTGGCGTACGGGGCAGTCTTTCAAACATTTTTTCTCTATTGGTCGGAAAATATCCAACTATACCATTTATACACCTTTAAACCCACACAGAATTCTTGTCCATGAAAAGTAAGAAACTTTCAAAATTATTATATGCATACAAAATTTCTAGGTTCCATCATCCAGTTCGAGGCCAGCTCTGATGTGGTACAAGCGAGCTTAACTCACACTCTGACGATGCGCTGTAGTTTGAAAGACACAGCACCACCATTGGCTGCGCCTGTAGTGGGACGTCGTGACGTCACAGAAACTACTGTTGACATGAAGTACGTCTCCTCAATGGTGGTAATGCGGAATGACATCGAACACGTTGCCATGGTAACCGTGCGAGAACCTGGAAAGGCGTTACTAGATCAGGACAATCTACAGGTGACGGGAAGTCTTGAAACCACCTCAGGTCATCAAGGGTGAGTTGAATTTTTTTTTCTATTGTCTGTCTCTTGTACCGATACTTTGATACCTAGATAAAAAAAAACCCAGATATACCGGTAAGATATCATTTTCTTGCGATATACACGTGTAGATAGGGTAGTCGGTTTTAACAATTCATTTCACCTCACATATTCCTAATGCTGAAAATGATCTCTTGATGGAATAGAAATAGAAGCAAAACAAGCAGACTGAGCTCGGACAATTGGTTCTTTCTTTGATATCTTTTTTTATTAGTTGTATTTCTATGTTCTTGTCTCTGTACATCCGTAAAAACAAGATAGTACACATAGTTTATTCACTGGCCATTGTAAGCACCCACGGGCTCTATGTGCCTCTCTCTTAACCTAATTTTCCCGTCCTCTTCTCTATCAAAGGGACATCTGTCCCATGTGGTGCTAACTGCCTGCTACTTCTATCAAAGTTTTGTTTTCGACAAAAGGCATTCATTGTGGTAAAACTGTGAAGCTCATCTGAGCCCTGTATCTTATAAAAAAACATTTTCGTCACACTGCCGAGAGGTTTGGCCTTATATGTGCTGGCAGGTCCCTGGCGCTCGTCTGGCAGTATCCGACCGAGAAGCAGGCTGGGACATACAAGTGTGAGGTGAACGGCATCGACCTGAATGGCCACAATGTCAGATTTTCCAAAACACTCCATGTTAACGCCACTAAGCCAACTATCGACGACTTGGTGAGTTCTGAATGTGTCACCTGCACTCATATAACAATAAAACAAAAGAACCATCAAGAAAACAATATTGTTTTCAATTACACTGACCGGCAAAAGAAAAGCAAATACAATATTTCTCAACTAAAGCTAATAAAAAAGACAATTATTGTTAGTTAATTTCCTTTTTCTGGATTTAGCCTCACACATGAGTGATGGATGCTCTCAAATGTGCTGTTGTTTATGACTTTTGTTTTGGCAAGTGTTTTAAGGCGCTTGCAACGGCATACGGTCATATGAGCGCGTGGGACATATTATTGCACATTTTCAGTTTGGTTTATATCTTGAATAATGCCCAGGTGGTGGCCGAAGTCTACTCTTATCGATTTTTAGGAACACCAAGGAACATTGTACGTGCTCAGCTTGTACATGAGACCTTCAAGATTTTTCGGCCTTATCGGAGAGAGCTAGGTGATAGACCTCACCTTCCATAAGATCAAGGGTGTGGATGAAAGACAGCAGTAAGAAGAAGCTAAGGAGTAGCAGTAGAAAGGCTGCAGAAAGAGTCAGGAGTCTAGAGGAGGAAGCAAAGGGGAGAGGTTTGGGGGGGGGGGGGCAGAAAGTCAAGACAAAAGCAGTCGACAGAACAGGGTTAGAGAGCAAGAAAGGAGGGGAAAGGAGAAAATTTTAGAGAAGAATATTTTCCGTCGTAGTCAGGTTATGAACCCTTCCCGGAACTCATTGAATGAGAAGCGAATACTTTAATCTCTAGACCACGAGAGCCCTCAAAGAGAGAGAGAGAGAGAGATAGATAGAGAGAGAGAGGGAGAGAGAGAGAAAGAGAGGGAGAATATATACATACATCATATAATTAACGTGTATGTGTGTGTGTGTGTGTGTGTGTGTGTGTGTGTGTGTGTGTGTGTGTGTGTATCTTACTCAGTGTAGTTTCATTTTCAAATATAGGCAGGACACTTGGCAACAAGATCCAAAATGATTGACCAGCTGACTTCTACGGTTAACCAGCTGACCAACGATCTGGCGGACATGCAGGCTCGTTTGGAGAACGACACACATTCACAAATCACGCAGACGGGCACACTCAGCTGTGGACACATGTCCAGTAATGGTGCTCAAAACGTTACTCAGCTGTTCGAGATACCTTACAAGAAACCACCAGTTGTTACCTTGGGGATGACAGACATACATTTTGAAATATATAGTAATTACATTTTCAAAATACAAACTTCAGTCGTAAGCGTTGATGAAAACGGCTTTACCATGTCATGCTATAAATATTATGCATATAGTGTCGACAATGTGGTAGTCAATTGGATCAGTTTTAAAAGCTGAGTTGACTACACGAGCCAAGAAATGGACCCCTTTGGACGAGGAATAAAGCTCGTACTTTCACCCTGTGATTGCATAATATTACTTATAAAATTCATGTTTCTGTTTGTAATAACTTCTCAAGTTTCTCTCTCTCTCTCTCTCTCTCTCTCTCTCTCTCTCTCTCTCTCTCTCTCTCTCTCTCTCTCTCTCTCTCTCTCTCTCTCTCTCTCTCTCTCTCTCTCTCTCTCTCTCCTTCTGTCTCTCAATGTCTCTCGCTCCCTACTCTCTCTTTCTTTATCCCCTTCTTTCTCCTCATCCATTACTCTCTCTATCTCTCTCTCTTTTCCTTTTTCTGCTTTTCTGGCTTTCTCTCCCTCCCCCTTTTTTTCTCTCTTCCTTTCTCTCTCTTGCTCTCTCAAACTGTCTTTCTTATTCTCTCTCTCCCCCCCTCCTTCTCTTTCTCTCTCTCTCTCTCTCTCTCTCTCTCTCTCTCTCTCTCTCTCTCTCTCTCGCTCTCGCTCTCTCTGTATCTTTCTGTTGCTTTTCTGTTCTCTTTGTTTTCGAAGGAAGAGCCAACATTCCAGGGTAACGAACTGTGGTAATAATAAACAGAATTATTATGGATGTGAAAGATAAATGGAACCAACCTTCTAAAATTCCCTCCAAGATAACACAATGAGTAGAAGCCAATTAGGTGTGTACTGCAATGGTTCACACACTCCGCCTTATTCAATTGTTTAGTTCGTAACTTGCTGAACTGAATTAACATCGTTGAACAATTGTAGTACACACTTAATACCGACATCTCATGTTATCTATCTTTGTGGGACTTTGAAAAACACCTCGTTACTTTTCCAAAGTATTCAGTAAAGATGGCATCGTGAACCAAACCTACACCACTTGAAGACTGCACGTCCAGTTCAAACCATTACGCCAGCTTATGATCAGGGCCGTCGAGAGCCAGGTCGGGCTCTGGGGTAGCAATCACCTTCGGGCCCCTCCTCTCCCCGGCCCCACCCACCCCCACCTGCAATTTAATAACTCAACAAATACAATGTACATAGGCATATATAATCACTTTACTGTAGCATATCTATTACATACCAACATACGCTCTCTGTCTCTCTCTCTCTCTCTGTCTCTCCCTCTCTCTCTCTCTCTCTCTCTCTCTCTCTCTCTCTCTCTCTCTCTCTCTGTCTCTCTCTCTCTCTCTGTCTCTTACACACACATCTTCACTACTTGGAAATGCATTTTGCAAAAGAGATGTTTGTATAAAAGCTAATCCCCCGTCTCCCCCCCCCCCCCCGCGCACACACCCCTGCCTCCTTTGTCTCGTCCCCCTCCATCAAGTGCTGGGTGTTTTTATTTTTCTGATTTACCGGGTAGTTAAAAATGAAGGTAAGATGAATAAACCAGTGATAGAAACTAAAATAAATTATAACGTAGCTTACCTTTTTTTCTTACTACAACAGAGTCTATGGGATTTAGCTCTAGCAAAAATTTCAATTATTGGTTCATAGTCCAATTTTCGCGCTACACTGGCCTCTATGGTCAAAATTCCAAGACTTGTGAGTCTGTCTTGACACACTGTGGACCGCAAAATGTTTTTCATCCGAGAAAGGGTACTGAAGGAACGTTCAGCTTGCGCATCTGCGAAAGGCAAGGTGCAGAAGATTCTCAACATGATTACAACGTTTGCTAACAAAGCATCTAGTTTCAGGGAATGAAGTCTGTTCAGCAACTGAAGAGGCGGCAGGACATTTTCTCCAATGTTCGCTGAATGAATCACTTTCAAATGTTCCAACTCTTGTGCAAGGTCTGCTGATGCATCCACAGCATATTCCGAGTGCAATTTGTTTGCAAGATCACGAATAACGCCGACTTCCTCTTGGAGATAATTCCATAAAACACTAAATAACGAATCGAGTTTTGTCACTGCATTATACCTTGTCGTCAAATTTCCAAGAAGGCAGTCAATGAGGTCTTAAAAATCTTCATGTTTGAATTTTTTCTCGGGATTTAGGTAGTCTGTTACATCTTCTGCCTCGTCTGCAAAAAGCTTCCTTTTCTTTTGTCGTTTTGCTGTTTCGGCGAATGCATGCTCAATCTCATCGTTATCTGCTACTAATTTGGACTCACTCAAGATTGCGTCCCATTAATCTCGCAAGCTTTTCAAATCTTTAACCGGACTATTGATATTTGCCACATCAACGTCAAGCGTCGCATCTCGTGCTTGAAACACTGTATTTCTGTGATCGATTGCAGTGAGGATTTTGAGCAAAACAGATGCCATTGTCACACATTCAAATGATGCAAAGTACTTAAAAATAATGTGGACTGGAGCTAAAAATGTTATACAGCTTTTGTACAACTCCAAAGAAAGTTATGACTGTTGAACTGCAGAATGCACGCCACACAGATTCAAACTATGACAGCCACAGGGAGAGTAGGTATGTGGCAAGTGAACACTGTCCTAAAAAGTGATCCTGTGCACCATTATTAAGACAGATCACGCATGTTGCTATCGTTGTCGTAGCTTGGCCTCAGCAGTCTGTAATTGATGTTTTTTTCATTCATTGTATCAAGGATAATTTTAGCGATGTCTTCTCCTGTTTTCTTGGTACAATCTACACATTCCTGAAATTCCTTTTCTACTTTGTAGACATTTGTATCACGCAAAATAAAAACCGTTTGCTCGACGTGTGAAGGGTCTGGTGTTGCATCAACGATATTGGAGTAATATATCGTTTCTGCTCTTTCATTCAAAATAATGTCTGTCACTCTTGATGCACAACATTGGATGAATTCATTTTGACTTTCTGGTGATAGATAGTGAACTTGTAGGCGCCTTTCTGCCTTGTCTGATTTTTCAACTTTTCTAAGATGCTCTGCAAGGAGATGATCGTAATGGCTTATCAATTCCAGAAGTCCAAGAAAGCACTACCAAAATTCTGTGAAGTTGTCAGACATACAGCTCAACTTGCAGCCAAAATATATTTTATTTCAAAGCTTTGTACAGTACTCTCTCTCTCTCTCTCTCTCTCTCTCTCTCTCTCTCTCTCTCTCTCTCTCTCTCTCTCTCTTTCTCTCTCTCTTTCTTTCTTTCTTTCTCTCCCTCTTTCTCTCTCTTTTTTTTCTCTCTCTTTTTTTTCTCTCTCTTTTCCGCGTGCTTGCGGGCCCCCCGGCATTGGCCCCCCCGACCCCCCCCCCTCTCGACAGGCCTGCTATGATGTCTTTCATACACCAACAAACCCAACGTTTGCCCAACAAAACCTAAAAGAAAAAGAAAAAGAAATAGAATACAGAGACAGGTAGGACCACTGAGATTGCTTGTTCTTTATTTTTTTCTCCTTACATTTCGCACCAACGTTCTTTTGAGCCGATCCTCCAATAAATGTTAGCCTTCTACCCCAAAATGTATGAAACATTTTTTTTTAACAGCGGAGAGGGAAAAATTCCATAGATTGACGATCAGCCACATAGTCAACAAGAGATGTTCACCTTTGCAATTATTAGTAACAATTGACTTTTGTTTTTAACCTCCCCCCCCCAGACACACACACATCTGCGTCATCTTCACGTCCATCCTTACACGAGTTTTAGAATCAGTGTCTTGGGCCCCACGCACACTAGCTCTCATTGCACGCTAGCAAGTATACAAATGAGGCATTTTCACCCCTTTGTTGCTCTCCATCGTGATAAATGAAGATTGTGTTATAGTATGCG